CTCTCTTTGTTTCTGTCTCTGTCTCTGTCTCTGTCTCTCTCTGCCAGACCTAATAGGTGATTAATAAATGTTTGTTCAGTGAATGAGAGAGATAGCGTAGCACAGGGAAAAGAAAACTACCTTTGAAATCAGAGGACCTAACACTAAGAACCATGTATGTAAACTAAAACCAAAGCATTTTCAGGGAATGGGGAGCACCATTGTCTGAAGGTATTGGGAAAGGCTTTACTTTAGCTAAGTATTCAGGGAAGCTACCAAGAGGTCAGGTGAGCGAGCCTTCCATCTGTGCAAAAGTCTAGAGGCAGGAGCTGAAATGTTGTGGAACAAGATGGCTTACCACTAAAATGGGGCAACAAACTCTTCCCTCTTCATCAGCTGACATGTATCTGAGACAGTAACTGAACACTGGGTGTTCTGATAATTCCTAGTCAAAGTCCTAACTCAATAAGCTGTATGACATTGTGAGTGATATTATTATCATTTTTTAATAGATGAGGAAACAGAGGCCCAGAGAGATGATATGACTTTTCTGAAGCCAGGAAGCTGGTTGGCAGAAGAGCCTAGTATTGAACCCAGGGCTTCTGAGTAACTCCTAGTACTCTTTTTACTACCCTGTAGTTTCTTCCCCTAACAGTTCAGAGATGATAAATAATATTACTAATAATGTCTGGAAGTTCTAACCTCTCCTTCCCATGACGAGTTTTGAACATCCTGTGTTGTTCTGGGGAAAACTGGCCTTTGAAGAACAGAGGAATCAGGGTAGGGGGATTCCCCAGAAATGTCCTGATTCTTAGAAGCTTCCCTCTTGTCATTATTTCCAGCCATGTTGGACTGTTTCTATGGGGTGTGTAGTGGGAGAGGGAACAGATATAGAGTCTGCTTAGTGAGAGGTCAATAATGACTTTGACTGGCCGATGCCAACAGGGCTGCATGCCATGGTGGAAATGACACTAACCTAGACTCCAGGAACTCTGATTTCCAGCCCTGGATCTGACACTACATTGAGGTGTAATCTTGAGCCATCTTGTTTTTCCCACTATACGGTGAACTCCTTAAGGCCGGAGAATCTTTTGCTCTGTTTTTATGCCCCAGGCACTCAGCACGGTGCCTGGCATACAGTGGACACTTAATAAATGCTTGTTAGCTGACTTACTGTCCGATCTCTTGGTTGTTTCCTGGCCTGTAAAATGGCGGAGAGTGCAGATGGTCTAGCTCCGAGTGCTGAGCAATAAGAGGAAGTTACTGGGAATGAGATTTCAGTTCAATATGGCGATAGAAATATGGTTTATTGCTGAACCCAGATCTGGGTTCAAATCCTGCCTTTGGAATTTATTAGCTGTATTGACCCTAGGAGGTCTCTTAATGTCTCTGAGCCTCAGACAACTCTCAAAGACTTACCGAAATTATTGGGCAGGTGGAGGGAGTTCTCTGCCATATAACACTGACTCATGTTTTCAAAGCATTTTCTCACGAATCCCCTGTCAGTGAAGAAGTCAATTGACCAGTCAGTAAGCATTTATTAAGCAACCACTGTGTACCAAGCACTGGTAAGAATTGTAAGATTGAATTGATGAGAAAACAGAAGTCAAATGACTAGACCAGTCACATAATTACTAAGTGACAGTCAGAATTGCAAACTGGATCCTGAGATCGTAGATTTAAAGATGTAAAGGGCCTCGTGAGAACCTATAATCTAACTCTCTTTTTATCCATTAAGAAACTGAGAGGCAGAGAAGGCTTGCTCAAAGTTGCCCAGGTATTAAGTGACAATAGCAAGATTTGATCTAAGTCCATTGAATTTGAGACTATTGTTCTTTTTTAGTAAAGCACAGCTCTATTAAAGAGAAGGGAAATTTCATTTCAATATTGGAAAGAAATTCCTAGCAAATAAAACCATACAAAATGGTATGAGATTCTTCATGAAGTAATAATAACAGTAACTGCCATTTCATCACCAGTTAGGATTAATAATATGGTTAGATTGTTGGGCTTAGAGTCCAATTACCTGGGTTCATCTCCTTCCCCACCACTCACCTGTAAAATGGAGATAATGGTGGATGCCTCCTAGAGATGTTTTGGGGATAAAATGAGATGTTTATAATGTGTTTTATAAACCTTGAAGCACTATATAAATGTTGGTTATTACTATTACTACCACTATTGCTGCTGCTGCTGCTGCTTTTGCTACTACTGCTACTATTACTACTGCTGCCACTATTACTACTACCACCTGTGTGAATATGGGCAAATAATCTCTTTGATACTCAATTCCTTTATTATAAAATGGAGACAATACCCACAGTACTCACCTCTGGGGTTGTTGATATGAGACTATGTATAAGAAACATTTTGAAAACTGAAAAGCATCATGTAAAAGTTAGCTGTTATTTAATTTGTAAAACCTCTTCCACACACACTTTGGAATTTTTCTCGGCTGTGTCTAAACCTGAGCTTCCATTTTCTATCAGACTTTAATTTTCTGGGTTTTTCTAGCCCTACTTCTATTTTCTTTTTATCATAACTATTTGCAGGTCCTCTCCCCATTAGGCTGAGAGCTCCCTCAGGACAGAGACCATGGTTTTGCCTTTCTTTGTACTCCAAACTCTTGGTCCAATGCCTGCCACACAGTAAGCATTTAATAAATACGTGTTGGCTGATTGACGTGAGCTTATCTGGTCCCAACAACAATCCTATGAAGTAAATACTTATATTATTGCAGTTTTATAAATCGAGAAACTGAGTCTCAGAGAGTACTCATGATCCTTTTTAGTAAGTGGCAGAGGTAGAATTTGAAATCCACTGCCTCAGATAAGTTCTCCAACTGTGGAGATACTTAAGTAGATATTGGGTAAGGGGAGATGTAGAAAGGATTCTGAAATAGGGTGGAAGGCTGGCTTAGATGGCCTCACCTCAGGCTCCATTTAACACTGTAGAATCACAGAAATCCATAGCACCACCCTGCCTTAATGTGGCTACAGAGCTGGGCTAAGATGTAGTTTTCAATTTTGTTCCCTCACATCTTTCATGGATCATCTCCTCTCCCTCTCCTTCCTCTTCTCTCCTTTCTATTCCTACTCCCTTTTCCTCTCCTCGTTTTCTCCTCCCTTCTCCAAATCCTCAGCCTCCTTTTTCCTCCTCCTCTTTATCCACCTCCTGTCCTTCCTCCTTCTTCCCCTCCACATCTAGGGGAGTACCCTGCAGATGAGGAAGGAGAGGAAGGAAACCTGGCAAGCTGCCTTTATTTATTTAGTCTGCTGTGGGGCAGGAGGCAGCCACACCCAGGCAAGCTCCCTGCTGAGAGCTCAGGAAGCCTGAGCATCCCTCTGGCAGGGCTGGGGCTGGGGCTGCATAGCCAGTGGGCAGACTGAAAGCAAGGGTGGAGAACAAGGGAAAGCATCCCCACCCTTTGTCCAAATAGACTCCCTGGACTGACAGCTGGAGCCGTGGGGGTCAGGGTTTTTGTATTTGATGGCTGGCAGAGGTGGGGAGGGACTCCCACACGTTTCTGTCCTTTCCTTCAAGGAGATGATTTTTGTGAGCTGGCTATTCTGGACATAGTGGGTGCCATGTAGTCAAATCAAATCACTTTGTGAAGTGCCTGCTATGCGCCAGGCATTGTACTAAATACTGGGCATACAAAGAAAGGTGAAAACATAGTTTTTATCCTTAATGAGCCCAGAGTCTGATGAGGGAGACAAAATGCAAACAACTGTGTGCCTACAAGATAACACAGTGAAAATGTGTTGGTTAATATCAGAAGTGAAATCACTCCCATTGAGGAAGATGGGGAAAGGCCTCTTGTCAAAGGTCAGGCTCAAGGAAACCAGGAGGTGGAATTAAGAGGTGTAGCCTGCTGCTATGCATAAAGAATGGGACTTAGAATTAGGACAGACCAGGGTTCAAATCCCATCTTTGACGTTGACTACCTGGGTGTTAAATTTGGAGTCAGAGAACCTAGGTGTAGATCCTGACTCTCCCACTTTCTATCTGTGACACTGGTCCAGTCATCTCCCCTCTCTTGGCCTCAGTTTCTTCATCTGTAAAATGAGGGGTTTGAACTAAATAGACCTTTCCGCCAATAAATAGATAGATGGGTAAAGAATAGATAGATGGATAGATAATAGACGAATAGATAGGTTGATAAAGCACTGACTAAGTTTTTCTATGTGTCAGGTACTGTTCTAAGTGCTAGGTATACAAAAAACAAGTAAGCAAGACAGTCTCTGCCCTCACAGAGCATAATTCTAATTGGGAATTCAACATATATAAGTGTGTGTGTGGGAAGATTACATGCTTGAGACATGGTGGAGATAACCAGAAAGTGACCTAGAAACCTAGTCCTGGAGGCCTGGTTCATGCTAGGATAATTCAACCACTCACCTATCTGGGAGTACTGGGAGATTTATGATCAGAAGGCCAAAGTTATGCCTGGGGAGAGGAGGGGGGATGGGGAGGGCAGGAGTTTGGGACAATGGCCAGAGCATAATCAGCATGGTGAAGAGGTGTCTGAGAGAGAGGTTATCAGCCACCGAATGTAATCAAGCCATCACAGTCATTTTCTGAGACCCTACTATGGGCAGGAACTGTGTTTGGAGGTGGGGGTACCAAGTCAAGGGATGAAACAGTTCCTTCTTCAGGCAGGTCGCCTTTGTAATGGATTCTGGCCCGCTGGTGGAGGAAGAATGTGGATGAGGATTCACACAACACAAAGTATTGCCAGGGAACCCTCTGTCTCATCCCATGTTTTTGGCATCTCCTCTGCTCAGCTACTGGACACATTCAAGGCTATTATTAAGCTCCTAATGTGCGCAAAGCCAAGTACGAGGAGCTAGGGGATTTAGAACATTTACAGAGGACATTGTCCCTGCCCTCACAGAGCTTACAGTCTAGCAGGGGGAGAAGGCACTCACATCATTACATGACACAATGTCTGGTGAGCTCATCACAGAGGGCAAACAGAGCTCTTTGTGACATGGGAGGAGGGTGCTCTTACTGACTTGGCAAAGAGGAGGAATTCACCGAGGGGCGTGGGGGGAGGCATTTGAGTTGGGTTTTAAAGGGTGGATAAGAATTCTCCAAATGAAGAGGAGGAAGAGGAAGGGCAGGAACAAAGCCACGGGGTAGGGGAGAGGGCAGAATCCAGGTTGTATTAGTGGGCAGCACCCGAGGAACGTGAGCGACCCAGAAGCCCTCTCATCCAAGCCCTCATTTTATGGAGGAAGAAACCCACGGCCAAGGTGATTTGCTCAAGGTCACCTGGGCAGTGAGTGTCGGAGGTAGGATTTGAATCCAATGCCTCCATCTACAGTCAATGTCTGATGTGCCATGCCAGGCCACCTCCAGTTTGGGGGGAGTGTGGAATACGTGGGAGTGGGTCAGACCTGGGATTCCATGGGTACAGGGAACCCCAGGTGAGAAAGCTCTCCCAAAGCGGATCAGCTGCTGCTTTGCAATGGGCAGTTTTAGTGAGCAGCCCAGGCACCAATGACTTGCCCACAGTCATTGTTGTTGTGTGACTTTTCATTTTACAGATGAGGAAACTGAGGCAAACAGGGTGAAGTGACTTGGCCAGGGTTGCACAGCTAGTAAGTGTCTGAGGCCAGATTTCAACTGGGTACTCTAAGCAGTGCTCTACCCAGCTGCTCTAGGCCCAGGGCCAAACAACTGTCATACAGCAGAGGAGTACCTTGACCCACATCTTCCTGTCTCCAAGTCTAGTTCTTTATCCACTAGGGCCACATGGCATCTCAGAGAATTTATGTGGGGGGGATAATGATAATAACAACAACAACAACAACAATAATTTACATTTATATAGTGCTTACTAAGTGCCACGCACTGTCCTAAGCACTTTATAATTATTATCTCATTTGATCCTAACAGCACCCTGGGAGGTAAGCTCTGTTATTATCCCCATTTTACAAATGAGGAAACTGAGGCAAAAAAGTTGACTGACCAAGAGTCACACAGCTAGTAAATGTCTGAGGCTGAATTTGAACTCAAGTCTGCCTTCAGGCCTTGAGCACCATCCACTGAGCTACTAAGCTGCCCCCAAAAGGAATCCAGTCTGGACAGGTATAGAGACACCAGATAATGCCAAAGGGGTCTGACCTTAGCCTCGGAGTCAACGGAGAGAGCCTAGAGAAGCAGAGGGCTGACCATCTCCTCATTTCTAAGATGAGAGCATTGAACTAGAAATCCTCGGGTTCCTCCAGCTCTTCGTCTCTGATCCAACGATCCTTCCATGCTACGGCATGACCTCAATTTTCTCATCTTTAAAATGGGGCTAATGACACCTGGTAAAGCCCACCTCACAGAATGATGATAGAGATCGCAGGAGATGATAGTCACGCCTTAGGCATTATGCCAGTCACTCCCATCATGGTTTCTTCAGCCCTGATCACCTCCTCCCTGGATTCTCCTCTTACTCCTCCTTAGAGCAGGGGCCCCTTCAGAGAGAGCTGAGTGAAAGGGAAAGCCCACCTGTGACACACAGATAATTTCCAGCCAAAAATGTCGGTGTTTCTTGTCCTCAATTGCCTGAGGCTCGCTTCCCCTCCTGTCAGCTGTGTGTAAAAGCTGCTAAGCATCTGGGTGATGTAATGCTTCAAGGGTGTGTGAGCTCTTCCATGGGATCGCCCTCTCTCACGCAGATCAGCATGCATTTACACTTTGGTGGGATCCTGGGATTGTACGTCCTGCTCTGGAAAAGACCTCCGAGGTCATCGAGTCCAACTGTCTCATTTTCAGGGGAGGAAAGTGAGGTGAAATGACATTGGTAAGCAGTGTCCAAGGTGGGATGTACGAGAGCATACCAAGCCGCCCTCCAATAGATGGCCCGCTGGAGTCGCTATGGCAACTCTATCCATCACCCAGCTGCCAATATGGTGATGAGCCTCTCTGAATTTAGCCAGACTAACCCATCATCAGTCCAAATGTAAAACCTTTCTAGCTCCACAGGACCTGCCAGACCATGCCCGTCACCCCTGTGGCCTTTAAGAAACTCACATGGGACTTTTTGCCCTCAAGTGAGATTTTTTTATTTTATTTTTCCTTAATTACATGTAATAACAATTTAACATTCACTTTTTATAATTTTGAGTTTCAAATTCTCTCTCTCTCCGTCCTCTCCCTTTTCCTTCACAAGACAAGCAATTTGATATACATATGCAGTCATGAAAAAATATTTCCATATACGCCATTTTGCAAAATAAAACACAGACCAAAAAAAAAAAAGAAGAAGAAGAAAAATGAAGAAAGTAAAAAAATAAGTATGCTTTGATTGGCAACCAGACTTCATCAGTTCTTTCTCTGGGTGTGGATAGTATTTTAAAAATCATAAATCCTTCAGAATTATCTTGAATCATTGCATTGCTGAGTCATTCACACTTGATCATCTGACAATATTGCTGTGATTGTATACGATGTTCTCCTGGTTCTGCTTACTTCACTTTGCATCAGTTTGTGTAAGTCTTTCCAGGTTTCTCAGAAACCATCCTGTCATCATCTCTTATTTTGTTGTTCAGTCATGTCTGACTCTTTGTGACTCCATCTGAGGTTTTCTTGGCAAAGATACTGTAGTGGTTTGCCATTACCTCCTCCAGCTCATGTTATAGATGAGGAAACTGAGGCAAACAGGGTAGAGTGACTTGCCCAAGGTCACCCAGCTAGTGAGTATCTGAGGTCAGATTTGAACTCAGGTCTTCTTGAGCTGCCTAGTCATTTCTTCTAGAACACAGTACTCTAGAACAATCTTGTACCACATTCACATGAGTTTTCACTGAAGGAACTAAGCATGAATAGCACAGGGGAAAGAAGATTCAGGAAGATCATAGTTATCTTCAACGATCTAAAGTGCTATGGTGTGAAGGAGGGATTCATCTTTTTCTGTTTGACTCCAGAGGGCAGAATCAGGAGCAATGAATCCTGAGTTTAAAAGAGGTTAATTGAGGCTTGAAGTCAAAGTTTCCAAATAACTAGAGCTATCCCAAAGTGGGAAGGATCTGGAGAGGAGGCAGCAGGTCCCACCTGACCCTCCATCTCCAAATAAAATCTCATCTTCTGTGTTGCAGAGCCGATTCTGTCTTGGATACAGGTTGAACTAGTCCAAGGGTTCTGTGCCTTCTTTGTGCCATGGGCAGCCACTCTGGGCTCCTTTTTGGAATCATGCCTTTAAAGGCATAAAATCAAATGCATAAGATTACAAAGGAAACCAATTCTATTGAATAGTTATACAACTATATTATATATGTATGTGTGTATGCATACTTATGTATGTGTATACATATAGAAACATATAATATATAATATGATTGTATAATATTTACACATTATTTGTATATTACAAACATAACATGCAATATAAATTATATATGCATATATTAATATAATTATATAATATATAATTTAATAAACGTATAAACACAATATTGGTATAAATGTAATATAAACATTAAGATATTATATTGACATATATAATGTAAACATATAAATATTATAAATAAATCCTATAATTGAACATTTGTTTTATATTATATATTATATATTTTATGTATTATGTAATATGTACTATTATATATACTATGCATATTTTATACTTATATATGTATATGCATGTATACATGTACACATGAATATGTATGCATATATATGTATACATATATTTCAACACCCTCAGGTTAAGAACCTGCAGGCTCAATAATATTGTGATGTCCCTTCCAACTCTGAGATTCTGGGATTCTATTCAATCATTTACTCAATTCCATAGGGCCCATTCAGCTAAAATTATTTCAATCTACATATTTTGCACATTTTTGCATATTATATATGTATTTTGCATATGTATACATTTTTGCATACACATCCACACTGAAGAAGAAAACGACCTTGAGGACGTGTCTTTGCATGCCCTTTGCCTAACTCATCATAGGCTCTTGCCAAATACTCAATAGTGGGCTGTCTCTGATGACAGCATAGGAACAAGCTCAGGAGACAGCGACTGTGTCCTTTCCATCTCTTCACCTCCCTTCTCGCTCAGTAGGGTTAGCAGGTGCTCACTGATTGTCTGACTGATGCATGCATCCTCTTTATGCATTACTCAGAGCTGGCACTGACTCGACAAAACTTGTTTGTGCTGCATTCGTGTGGTTGCATGCACAATGTGCCCCAATTCCACATTAGTCTCCTTTGACCTCACAAGAGCCCTGTACAACAGGCAGGGAAGGGATTGGCCTTATTTTACAGATGAGACAAGGCTTCTTGAGAAAAGATGTTTCTCGGAGAATGTCTCATGTTGCACAGATTCATGGATTTGAAGGGATGTTAGGTGTCGTCTGGTCTGACCTCCTTTTTCAGCTGAGGCAGCTGAGGCCCAGAGAGTCGAAGTGACTTTCCTAGAGTCACTCAGGTAGTAAAAGAATGAGCCAAGATTCCAACCTCTGATGCCGAACCCAGCACACTCATTCCCATGGCACCGTGTTTCAGATATGTAAAAAGAGGTGAACTGATCCCCCAAAGCCACATTAAGATGGGGAGGATGGTGGAGTTCTCCATGATTTTTTGTTTGCTCTGGAGATGTTGTTAGAATGGACCCCTGAGTGGATGGAGGCCCCCTTGCTCTCCTAAGAAGATCGATTCTAGTCAGCTCTGGCAGGAGATAGCGTAGGAGGGCTTGGGCAATGGGGGTAGAAGAACAAGGTTCTTCCACGCAGGAAAAGAGATGTAGAAACCAGAGGGCCTGACTGCCTCTGAATGGACAGCAGGGAACGTGTCCTATCGTTTAACGCTCATTTCCCCTTCCTCGTCTCACCTCCACTCTCTCTCTGTGCCAATTTCCCCTTTGGCCAGAGACTTAGGATCCAGTCAGGAGAGGAAACTGAGCAAGGGGGAGGAGGAATCTGACACTCAGACTGGGAATAAAGGCTAATTCAGTTTGCTCTAGTCTATTCATCAGGATAAAAAAAAAATCACATCTTTTATTAATTTATTTTTAAACTACAGCAGTGGGGGCCAGTGGAAAGAGCTGCCAAGCGGGAGTCAGTTGTCACATATGTGCCTCAGACCCTCTGTGTGTCCTTCAACAAGTCACTTCCTCTTTTGGGGACTTCCTTCTAAGTCATCCAGAGCAGTAAATTGAGGATGTTCAGGAAAAGACCAAGAGTTGGAAGAGATCTCAGAAACCATCCAGTCCAACTGACGCTCCGGGAAGAATCCCTTCTACTCTCACATGACATAGGGTTCAACAGGTCTCCACTTGAAGACCTACATGGATGGGGAACTCACTCCTTAACCAGGCAGTCTATTCCATTTCTGGACGACTAATTGCTGGACTTGCTTGTCTTCCAGTGAGCTGTGTAATCTATCACTCTGCAGATCCAGGATCTACCTGCTGATCCAATTCTGCCATTTGAGATTGAGCAGAACAGGTCAGACCCTCCTCCGTGTGACAGACCTTGCTTCATATAAAGGGCTCTACCCTATTCTTCGAGTCTTCTCTTCTCCAGCCTGAACATCTGTGGTTCTTTTGATTAATCTCCAGGAACAGTGATTCTACTACATTCCAACTTCATGAAAGATAGCATGGTTTAGTGACCCTGGGCAAATTACCTAATCTCTCAGTGTATTAGCCAGACCTCTAAAGCAAGGTTTCTTAATGTGTGTATGTGTGTGTGTGTGTGTGTGTGTGTGTGTGTGTGTGTGTGTGTGTGTGAGAGAGAGAGAGAGAGAGAGAGAGAGAGAGAATGAGAGAGAGAGAGAGAGAGAGAGAATGAGAGAGAGAGAGAGAGAGAGAGAATGAGAGAGAGAGAGAGAGAGAGAGAGAGAGAGAGAGAGAGAGAGAGAGAGAGAGAGAGAATGAAAGAGTGCACTCTGGCAGTCTGGTGAAGTCTGTGGATCCCTTCTCAAAATAACCCCAGGTTAAGATCCCCTGCCCTAAGGCTATAAACTGGCAACTTGCATTGGCAAAGGGAACTTCTTCATTCAGGTTTTACCTACACTAATGAAATTGCACAGCTAGTCCCTATTCCCTCTCTAGTCTTTCACCTTATTTAACTCACCCCATCCTTCTAGTCTGCTGAACTACAAATATGACAACAAGCAAGCCCCATGGGACCAGATCATCTCAAAGATTCTCACAACACTCACATTCTATTATCCCCATCATATTCTATTCCACTCACAACTCAACTGTCTGGAGTTCTTTTTCTCCTTCTTCCCCTTGTGTGGGCACCTTTCTTTCTAATAATTTTTTTAATTTTTTTTTTTGGCAATTGGGGTTAAGTGACTTGCCCAGGGTCACACAGCTAGTAAGTGTCAAGTGTTTGATCTGAGGCTGGATTTGAACTCGGGCCCTCCTGACTTCAGGGCTGGTGCTCTACCCACTGTGCCACCTAGATGCCCTGCACCTTTCTTTCCTGCACCCCTTTTTATAGCTCCACTTTATGTGTTGTTTTCTCCTATTAAAGTATAGCTCTTTGAGGGCAGGAAATGTCTTGCTTGCTTGTAGATGTATCCTTAGTGCTTATCTTTCTATCTGTCTGTCTATCTATCTATCTATCTATCTATCTATCTATCTATCTATCGGTCTATCCATTCATCCATCTGTCCATCCATCTGTCCATCCATCTGTCCATCCATCTATCTGTCTGTCTATCTATCTATGTCAGTCTGTCTCCATCTATCCATCTGTCCATCTATCTGTCCATCCATCTGTCCATCCATCTGTCCATTCATCTATCTATCTATCTATCTATCTATCTATCTATCTATCCATCCATCCATCCATCCATCTATCTATCTACTATCTATCTATCTATCTATCTATCTATCTATCTATCTATCTATCTATCTATCTATCTATCTATCAATCGGTCTATCCATTCATCCATCTGTCTGTCTGTCTGTCTATGTCAGTCTGTCTCCATCTATCCGTCTGTCTATCCATCTATCAATCTCTCTATGTCTACCTCTCTTTCCAGGACGGACTACTCTGGAAAAGAGGGGGTTTCTCATTACTGAGCATGGTGCCCCAGGGGCTGATGGGCTACTTGTGGTGAATGTAGCCAGTGCCTGGTAAATGTTACTTGACTGATCGGTGCAGTAACTGGGAGCCCTGATTCAAGCAGGAGTTGTGCCAGGTGGTCTCTGAGGCTCATTTCAGCTCTAAGGGACTGGGATTTTATAAAACCAAAATAGCTGTTTGTCTGTAATTGAAAACCAAGGTAAAGAAAAAATATTTTTAGTCAGCTGAGGAGGAAAAAAGAAAGAAAACATGTTCCTTGTGTTTTTTGAAAACATTAAAAGACACTGAGCTTCTGAATTGTGATGAGTAGAATGGGGATGAGGGGGTTGTACAGGAGGACTCTAGGGGCCCTTAAAATAAGTGACATAATATGAGGAAAAGGGGATATGGAATTATCAACTCAGCAATACAGCAGACGCTTCAGGCCATGAAGAGCCTCAGAATAGATGCCTGGCTGCATTCTGCAAATGTCATCTCTTTTTATGGTCAAGGAACATGGCGGTATTTTATGTGGCTCATATAATTAATACATCACGGCAGCAAAGGAATTAATGGGGGAAAACATGTAATATGTAACATTTCCATATGCGCAGGGGAAGCCACTGTGGAAACTCCAGAGCAAGAGAAAGCTATTGAACACTTATGAGCCAGGGGAGTAAATCCCAGGGCTAAGACAAACTAGAAGGAGTGGTGTGGGGGGAAGGACTGCTTAAGAAAACAGGAAATTGGACACTAGTGAGTTACTCAGAGTCATAGCATGTTACAGCTGGAATGGTCCTCAGAACATAGAAAATTAATTCATAGAATGCGAGAACTGGGAGGGACTTTGGAACACAGAATGTTAGGACGCAGAAGGTCATATCTAGGAGAGAATTAAGTCAATTAGTCTGAATAGGCATCTATTAAAGCACCTACTATGTGCCAGGCACTATTGTAAGACAAGGCAGAAGGCAGTTTTTGTTCTTAGGTCTAATGAAAGAGACAGCATGCAAAGCACCAGGAATAAAGAGGATAAACTGAAGTTTAAAACTAAGAATGTTGGACGTGGAAGGGGCCTTAGAACGTAGAAAGTAAATTCACAGAATGTGAGAACTGGGAGGGATTTTGGAACACAGAATGTTTGGACGTAGAATGGAGGAGATAAAAGCGACCTTGGACCAGAAAATATTGACTCTTAAGGGGTCCTTAGTAATCAAATGTTAAGAAATAGCATGGACAGATCAATGTAAACCATTAAGTGCCTACTATTTTCCAAGTACTTTGCTAAGCCCTGTAAATACACATACATAAGTGAGTTAGTCCTTACCCTCAAGGCAATCACATTCTAATAAGAGATAATATATATATGGTGGCTCAGGAATGGAGTTTGGGTCCAGGAAGGATGATAAGTGTCATCATAAGCGGGTTCTACTGAAGTATCCTGATGATGATGGTGATGATGATGATTGTGGTGGTGATGATGATGATGATGATGATGGCGATGACAACTGGTTCTCTCCATCTCACCCAGTCTAGAAATATGCATGAACTCTGAAATTTCTTTTTCTCATTTTCTGTCATTTCATTTTTCCCTCTGTCTTATGACCACTAATCTGGTTCTTAATCCTTATCATGATCTCCAATCCCTCCACCTTTTAGTGCTTTCCCAGACCATCTCTGAACTAGCTATACAAATCTCCCCTCCCTAAGGGTGAAGGTGAAGCACTCTTGGTGAAAACAGTTCAACTTTATACTTTCCTCTGCACTTAAATCCACTGACCTTTTGTTGATCATGCCTTGCCAAATGCCCGCCTTGGATTACTTTCGCCATCCATGACCTTTACTCCTATTCACATGCTGTTGAATGAAGATGGAGAAAATCACAAAACACATGCCGACTGGATCCACTACAAATCTACATGGCATAATCTCAACTGGGCCCTCACTATGGCAGAGCAATTCTTTGAAATGCCCCTAATCAATTCTCTGTACCATTCACCACAGCAGCTCTTCCAAACTTTTTCATCCCTCCTCAAACATCCCATGGTTCCCCTTCTTTTTCCCCTCTCATCTAGGAACTTTGTTTCATATTTCTCTTAAAAAAAGAAGCTGTTCACTGAGAATTACTTCTTCTCTCTTTCTCATTTCATGTCATTCAGATACCTTCTTTCATTATCCTTTTCCCCCAACCCAGTACCTCTTTCAGAGGTTGCTGTTCTCCTTAGCAAGACAAACTCTTCAATATGGACCCTTCAAGAGAAGGGTTCTTCTTCAGAAGATTGCCCACCCCCCCATCAAAATTTTGTTCTTATTTTCAGTCCTTCCCTTGGCTGCTTCCCTGCTGCCTAGAAACATGCCCATGTCTTCTCAGTTTCTAAAAACCCTTCACTTAATCCTACCATCCCTGCTAGCTTTTGTCCCATACGTCTTCTCCTTTTTGTGGCTAAACTCTTTGAGAAAACTGTTTACACTCAGTGTCTCCATTTCCTTGGCTCTTACTTGATTTTAAACCTTCCACAATCTGCTTTCCAATATCATTCACTGAAATAATTTTCTCCAGAGTTACCAACGATTGCTTTAATTGTGAAATCCAATGTTTCTTCTTTTTGCCTCAGGCCTCATTCTCTCTACACAGTCAATCACTCTGTTCTCTGAAGACTCTGTACTCTCCAGGTTATCATAACACTGCTTTGTCCTGGCTCTCTTCCTATTTGTCTGACTGCTCCTTCATCTATATCATGCCATCTAATGATAGATGTCCCTCAGGGCTCTGTCCTGGGCCTTCTTCTCTTCCCCTGTAGTATCTCTCTTGATGATTTCATCGACTCTCGTTGGTTCAATTACCATCTTAATTCAGTTGACTCTCAGGTCTATATACCAAGCCCAGACTTGTCTCCTGAGCACAAGCTGCATTTTGGACATTGTGAACTCAATGTTGCATTGGCATGTCCAACTCAAAGGGTCCAAAACAGAACTCATTGTCTTCCTCCCTCTTAACCCTTCTCTCTTCTGCACTTCCCCTGCTGGATTGTCGAGGGCACCACCATCTTACATCCAGGCTCAAAACTTAGGTTTTGTTCTCAACTCTTCACTCACATTCACTCCATGCCTAATGTGTTGCCAAGTCCTATCATTTCTACCTTTCCAGCATCTCTTGTGTATGTCTCCTTCTCTCTATTCACATCCATCTCCTGGTGTAGGCCTTCATTCCTATTGCAATAGCTTTCTCTGGATTTCTTAACTTAAATCTCCATCCAGTATAGATGATTCTCATCTCAGCAGCCAAAGCAGTTTTCTGACCGTGTAACCTCCTTCTTCTCAAACCTACTCAAGATACTCCATCGGCTCCCTATCACCTCCAAGGTCAAATATAAAATACTCTCTTCAGCTTTTAAAGTCCTTCAAAGCCTGGCCCCTGACAGGGGCGTCCTGGACCCTGGCTTCCTAGGAAGGGCGTGGAAGACCCCGACCGCCTCAGAT